AATATTTCACAACCTTAAGTGAGAGGCTTGTGCATTAAAGTGAGCCTGCAAAAGAAGAGATAAAACTTTTCTTATTCTAGAAGCGCTTCTCTGTTTTTTTGACCTTTTCTTTGTTTTTTCCTCTGTTTGACCAGGTGGTAGAAGACATTTCCTTAAATTGCCGTGGAGTATCTCAAAACTCAAGCACAGGGAACTTACTGGAATATTTGATTTAAATTTCGTTTGGGCAGCTAGAGAATCATTTGAAGGCAATATATTTTCCATATATAATAATACAGAGAAATATTCAATGTGCATGGGGAAAAATTACTTTAGGGCCGGGGATGGGGTAGGGAAAGAGCGTACCAGGTGGAAGCAGTGTGTTGATAAAGGTCTCGTTCTGGGATTTTGTGATCAGGTCATTGTGTTCTATTTCATTATTGCGCTTATAACTTACAAATGTATCATGTTATTTTCTTTTTAGCTTTTTTTTTTTAATTGTATTTTAGATGAAGATTTACAGAGCAAATACTTTCTCATTAAACAGTCAGTACACATATTGTTTTATGACATTGGTTAACAGCCCCACAACATGTCAACACTCTCCCTTCTCGAACTTGGAGGACCTTTTTTTTGGTGAAAATATACATAGCCAAAGTTACACCATTTCAAAAGTTATGTTATCTTCTATGGATCAAATGTTGTAGCAAGGTAAAGGGAAAAAGTTAAATATAGAAGAAGGAAAAAACACTTGTTTGCATGGATCATATTTAGTGAAATAAATTATGACATGATCAAGATCCTCATTATTATTCCTTTACATAGTTTTTCTTTTCAATAGCTAGTCTATTCTATGAGGCAGATTGTAATTGTATTCATTAGTTATTTCTTTATGGGAAACAGGTTAATTATTTTTCCATTTAAGGGGAAAATTAGTATTAGAAGTGAGCCATTTAGCCTTCCCAACTGATATGAAAATGCAGAAGCTTATGCCATTGAAGCATGATCCTGAAATATCTGTGCTGTGAAGGAGGGTCAGTACTGTTTGTGAAAGTTTTTCTAACATTTAGAATTGAAAAGCTTACCTTCCCCTGGTGGCTCAGTTGTTAAGTGCTTGGCTGCTAACTGAAAGATCTGCCGTTTGAACCCACCAGCTGCTCCACAGGAGAAAGATGCGGTAGTCGGCTTCTTTAAAGATTAAAACCCAAACCTGTTGAGTGGATTCTGACTCATAGCCATCCTACAGGACAGAGTAAAACTGCTGCAAAGAGTTTCCAAGGAGCTGCTGGTGGATTTGAACTGCTGACCTTTTGGTTAGCAGCCAAGCTCTTAACTACTGTGCCACCAGGGCTCCCTTTAGAGATTACAGCCTTGGGAACCCTATCAGGACAGTTCTCCTGTGTCCAATAGGGTGGCCATGAGTTGGAATTGACTTGATGGCACACAATAGTACCATCCTCTGGAAAGTTAAGTTGTGGGTGTTTGTGAGAGTGGGTTCAATCCATGTTCAGTTTTGCCTTTTTTTCTGCTGTACTGTGACTGTAGATGTTTTCACAATTTAAATGCATGGCAGTGGTTTCAAGGTATCCCCAATTTAGAATGTCTAGGCCCTGGTGGCGTAGTGGTTAAGAACTTGGCTGCTAACCAAAAGGCTGGCAATTCAAATTCACCCGCTGCTCCTTGGAAATCCTATGGGGTGGTTCCACTCTGGAATCAACTCAGCAGCAATGGGTTTTTTTTGGTTTGGTTTAACTGGATCATTTTGCTAGAAGACCTATTTTTTAGCATGTATAATATTGCTTCTTAGTATACTGTCTTCTGAGACCAGAGCTGACATTGTTTCTGAGTATCTCAATATCTTGATAATTATTAATGAGGAGTCAATTTGACTATAAAATTTCTTAGATTGCTTGAGCATTTATAATCACCAACCTTTTGTTTTATGTTTACTTGTCTCCATTTTCTATGAGCTGTAATGATAGGAATAGTAGTGATAAATAAAAGTCACAGATTACGCCTGTCTGATTTTAGCAGATATGACAAAATAGCTGGAAACTTTCCGGGAATTTATCATTTCATATGGGTTTTTCTTTTTTTTTTTGGTACCTAAGAGGCCCCTTTTAGCACCCTGATTAAAAACATTTTTTAAGAAAATGTTTGTAAAATATGTTAATATGTTTCCCTGTTAAAGAGTGTTTGGAATATAGTTTGACTTTTTATCTAAGTAATCAAGGTCACCATTACGAAAGCACTTCTTGTTCTGCAGTATAATGATGTCTTTGAAGCTGTCGCGATAAATATGGTTTCTCCTATAATAGATAATCCCAAACATATATGATTTTTGAATGCTTCCCTTGCCTTTTATACTTTATATCTCTCATTTTATTTTATTATTTATTTATTGTGATTTAGGTGAAAGTTTACAGAGCAAATTAGTTTTTCATTCAAAAATTTATACGCAAATTGTTTCATGGTGTTGGCTGCAGTCCCACATTGTGTCAGCACTCTCCCTGTTTGCTTTTCCACCCCAGGTCCACCCTGTCCATTTGTCCAGTTTTCCTGTCCCCTCCCGCCTTCTCATCTTTTTTTCCTGGACAGATATTGCCCATTTGATCTCGTATACTTGATTGTTCTAAGAAGCACGTTTCTCACAAGTATTATTGTTTGTCTTATAGGCCTGCCTAATCTTTGGCTGAAAGGTGATCTCCTATTTCATTACTAGGCCATCACTTATAATCTTCCTTGATGTTTTTTTGCAGCCCCTCCCCTCCTGGTAATTTGCTGCCTCTGCTTAGCTGTGGGAATGGAGATTGTAAGAATTAAACTTGTTGGGCGCCATTGAGTTGATTCCGACTCATAGTGACCCCATGTGACAGAGTAGAACTGCCCCATTGGGTTTTCTTAGCTGTAATCTTTATGAAGCAGATCACCGGGTCTGTCTTCCATGGAGCTGCTGGGTAGGTTCAAACGGAACTGCCAACGTTTTGGTTATCAGCCGAGTGCTTAACTGTTGCACCACTAGGGCTCTTTTGAAGTTTTAGTGGTTGTATATAAATCAGGGGCCTGAGAGGCCTAAGAAGCACTGTTTCAGGAAAAAATATTGGTAGATTTTGTAGTGTCTAGTTGAGTTGCTCAGCTCTTCAGATTGATGTAACTTTTATTGGGTGCCAGTTGTAGGCATCTATCAGCTCTCTGAAATTGAGCTGGCAAAGCACAGAGGTGATTTGTCTCCTTCCTCCCTTATCAGCTATGACCATTTAGTTTCTGGAGTTGAAAAATAAAGTTTCCTTTTCTCTCTGGCTTGATTTGTACTTTGGAATTGAGGCCAAAATTCTCATTAAAGACTGTAAGAGAAAGATGAAAAAGAACAAAAGGCCTTGGATGGACCACAAACACGTAATTAAAACTTATATGCCTAATTCTGCATCTTTGCTATTGACATGATATTTTTCAGAAATGTCTTCGTGCAGTCAGTCATAGAATAATTTATAGTCCGCTCCCCCACCAACACACAGGGAGTGCTTCCTTTGAAAGATCAAATATTTGGGTAGTAAAAGTCTCAGTTTAAACATTCAAAGACTTCAGTGGTCATGCTCTAAGTGGCAGTTTAGTTTTGGTGTTTAAACTTTCACCCTTTAAGCCCTCTTACCACTGATTTTACTTAGAATACTATAGCTTTGGAATGATAGTGGTAATAGGAATGCATGTATGGCTTTCTAAAAGGGACCACCTAGGGGAATACTTTTTTTTTCTTTTAGAATTATCATGCTTGTAATTTTTCATGGACTTCTAACCCAAACTGGGACAACAGATGTACCTGATTTTCTCCTCCAGTGACTTACAAATAAAGCTGTAAGGAGAATTCAGAATTATTCTCTTCATAGGCCATAGGCAGCGCTTACCTTCCCTGATTCCTTGTATTGTATTGCTTAACTATGTTTGTAGAGGAACTTTGTGTATGTGTGCTGCCAGTTCAACTAAAATGAAGTCACTTTCTTCCAGAGACTTTGGCTTATACAGTTCCAAACCGCGTATTCAGGTGAAAGCACAGATACTGGAATAGGAGTGATGAATCAAAAACATTTAATTCTCATTCCATGTAGTCTAACCAAACCACACCCAGCCCACTGCCGTCGAGTCAGTTCCGACTTATAGAGCTCCTATAGGACAGAGTAGAACTGCCCCATAAGGTTTTCTGGACTGTACTCTTTAAGGGAGCAGATTGCCAGGTCTTTTCTCCCATGGAGCAGCTGGTAGGTTCGGACTGCTGACCTTTTGGTTAGCAGCTGAACGCTTTAACCATTGCAACATCAGGGATCCCTCAGTGTAGTCCAAATGAATTATTCAACATTTTGAAGAATTTTTAAAGCACATTTTTAGATTGTTGTACAATAAAATTAATGATGTAAAGACATTTTAAAACTCCATTAAAACTTGATTTTTTCCTGATAAGTACCAGACAACTTTTATTCCAAATTGAGAAAGTATTTCAAAATACTCCTGAGAGTAGTATTTTTTTGTGTCAGAAAATGTGATGTGTGGTGGATTCAATGGCTCGAAAAAGTGATTTTCACATATTAATTTAGCCGAAGTGTGATCATTATTATATTATGTATATTAGTAGCTTTTAAAATGTAGGACAATTGTTTATTTAGAGTTTGAGTGAAAACAGGCTGGTGGGAAGTTTGCTGGCCTAGGAAAAAGTCAAGGAGGCTTTCATTTTAAAATGAAGGAACTAAAAGGCTTAGAAGAATCTTAGAGATTATTTAGATTCTTTTTTTTTTTCCTGAAGAGACAATCAAGGCCCTGAGTGGTTAATTGAATTACTTAAGTTTACACAGGTTGGACTTGAACCAGAGATTGAAGAAACAGAGTACTAAGGCCCAAAGGCATTTAAAATGAACAGTTGTTAAGAGCTCAGGCTGCTAACCAAAAGGTTGGCAGTTTGAATCCACCAGCTGCTCCTTGGAAACCCTATGGGGAAGTTCTGCTCTGTCCTTTAGGGTCACTATAAGTTGGAATCAACTCAATGAAAATGGTTTTTTTTTTTTTTTGGTATAAAGGATTATCAGTAATAGGAATACCCACTTTCACCAAACTGGTGAATACCTGTGTATTTTTGCTGCTCCTCCTTCTGCCATGAGCATTTTGAATTAACAGGCTGATTTTCTAATGCTCATTATGGCATTAGATTCCATCATAAAGTGTGTGTTTCCTTGACCATGCCTTTTCTTGTCTTTCACAACCAGCTTCTTTTAAAGGCGGGAATAGCAATTATACAGCTGTGCACTGAGGATTCCCAGGTGACTGCAGCCAAGACTGAATTCAGGCCACCCAGCTACTGACCAGAAGCTTTGCCAGCTTAGCTACTTGACCACCTGCTTCTGTTTTTCTGGTCTGCTTGCAAATGGAGGGAGTTTGTTCTTCTGCCATCAACATCAATTTCAAAGAGTTCCTTGGAAGAACTTGGAAGGGGGAGGTAAAGAGTTGATCAGTGTTACTGGTTTCATTCCCTGAAAAATACAATCTCATAATTGAGATCCTAGGACTTTGGTCCAGCTATATATATAATGAATTCTTTTGTAGTTGAGAACTTTTGGACATGTGTCTGATGGGAACCTTGAAATTATAAACCACGTCACCCACTTTTCCTCTTCCCCCAACAAATATGCGATGGGTTTCATTAAAATTATGAGAATTTAAAGCAGTGTGTATAATTATCATAACTTTGTTTTCCAAGCAACTATTATCCGCTAAGTGGAGTTATTTTAAACATTTAACCTGTTTTTAAGTGATGCTGCTGTTATTCTGAAAACATGTTGGGAAGCTCTTAATAACCTGTCTTAGTTATCTATTGCTGTTGTAACAGAAATACCACAAGTGAATGGCTTTAACAAACAGAAATTTATTCGTTCACAGTCTGGTAAGCTAGAAGTCTGAGTTCAGAGTGCCAGCTCCAGGAGAAGGGTTTCTCTGTTGACTCTGGAGGAAGGTCCTCATCATCAGTCTTCTCCTGGCCTAGGAGCTTCTTAACACAGGGACCCCGGGTCCAAAGGACTCACTCTGCTCCTGGCACTACTTTCTTGGTAGTATGAGGTCCCCCTGTCTCTCTGCTGGCTTCTCTCTCTTATATGTCAAAAGAGATTGATTTAAGACACAACCTAATCTTGTAGAGTGAGTCCTGCCTCGTTAACATAACTACCTCTAATCCCACCTCGTTAACATCATAGAGGTAGGATTTAGAACACATAGGAAAATCACATCAGATGATAGAATGGTGGACAGTCACACAATACTGGGAATCATGGACTAGCCAAGTTGACACACATTTTTGGGGGGACACAATTCAATCCATAACGCAGCCCAACAAGGTCACACTTTTTTTTAACCTTAAGGGTACAGCTGGATTGCTCTCTTCATAGAATTGAGGTTTGAATTTAATGTCAAATCCACTCTTACAGGATTTGATTTGAAATATGCTGTAGGTTCTGAAGGCATCTCCAGTGTAAATGTGTAAGTCTTTCAGAGTGATTGTTTAGAAGAACAAGAACACTTATTCCTTGCAATTTTTTCTCTTTAATAACATATTTCCATTAGCTAGATTATCTTATACTTAAAACATGCCTTTTTAAAAATTATTATTGTAAAAATATGAATAACACAACATTTGGTAGTTCAATACCTGGTTCAGATTGTGTAGTGGACAGTGGGTATGTAAAGTCTTCTCACTTTCTTTGCCTCTTATAGGTGAAAATATACATTAAAAATGAAAAAAAGCCTATCATGTGATTATCATCTTGGATGGGGAGAAAAGATATGGTCTGGGGAAAATAACCTGTTTAATCCTCTATAGCAGTAGTGATACTGGTAGGATTGTAACTGTGCTGTAGTTACCAGAAGTGGCAGTTACTTGAAGGATGGGGTCAAAGGGCATTCCAAGCCTTGGCACAGGGTGAGGAACATGGAGAATTTTTAAATGGCAGGGTTCTTTGGTAAAGTTTGTGTTATTGGATGATTAGTAGATGCCCTCATTTACCTTGTTATACTTCTAAATAGAAGGAGCCCTGGTGATACAATGGTTAAGCTCCCAGATGCTAACGGAAAGGTTGGCGGTTCGAACCCATCCAGCAGCACTGCATGAGAAAGATCTGGCAATCTGTCCCTGTAAAGATTACATCCTAGAAAACCCTGTGGAGCATGTCTGTTATGTCACATGGGGTCACTGTGAGTCGAAATTGACTCCACAGCACCCAACACTAACAACTTCTAAACTTATCCTTACATTTAATTCAGCTTCTCAGAGAAAGATAAGCATTTCTTGATTCTTTTTTTCTGACGTTTCACTTTAAAAAATGCACCTGATATTCAAACATCAAGTTAAGAGACAAAGTCATAGCTCTCATCTCCTTGGAGTTTATAACCCAGGAAAAGAAGTTCACTTTGTAGACATATAGTGGGCAATTTTTGTTTGTAGTTATAAATTGAAGCCCATGTTGACAACTCTGCTTAATATTAACTAGGCAGTGTCTGCTGACGTCAGTTCTGAGAAAGGCAAAGAGTTTTTACTCCTTAATGGATAGTTCTGTGTCCCTCAAGGTTGTAATCGCGTGACCATCACTGATAAGAAGTGGTGACATTTTCCCAGTAGTCTCTGTGGAAGCTCAGGCAGAATGTGCTTTATATTGTGGCTTTGCCACTTACTAGGTGTTTGACTTTAGGCAAGTTACTTACTGTCTCTGAGCCTTAGCTTCTTCATCCGTATAATGGAACAGTAGTGCCCACCTCAGGATGGCTGTGAAGATTCAGTGAAGGTAGAGCATGGAATGTACTTAGCACAAAGCCTGGCACATTAAATGCTCTAGAAAGGTTAGTTAATATAATTGTAATTATTTAGCATGAGACAGGCTTCCTAGCCAGTTCTAAGATGGATAGCCATCTGTTGAATTTTAGATAGAGCACATGTTGTTGTGGTTGTTAGGTGCCGTCAAGTTGATTTTTAACTCATAGCGACCCCATGTGACAGGGTACAATTGCCCTATAGGTTTTTCTAGGCTGTAATCTTTATGGGAGCAGATCACTAGGTCCTTCTCCTGTGGAACTGCTGGGTAGATTTGAACTGCCAACCTTTCGGTCAGCAGCCAAGCATGTAACTGTTGTGCTACCAGGGCTCCTAGATAGAGCACATAGGCTTGAATAAATGGAGTAATACGCACTTAGTATAGCTCCTGGCACAGAGTGAGTAAGTGATCCAGACAGGGTAGAGAATAACAACATAACAACGGTGATTGTTGTTATTTATTCAGTTTTCAAAAAGTATATGAAATGTGTACTTTACTAATGTGGCTATGTATAGACCTTAAATTAAATAATAAAGTTATATATTTAAAGAAAACTTAGGAGAAAAATGGGGTGCAGAATTCAAATTCTAGTAAAAAGACCCAACTTAATGGTCTGACCGAGACTGGAGGAACCCCTGGAAGCATGGCCCCCGGACTGTCTGTCAACCCAGCACTAAAACCATTCCCGAGGCCAACTCCAGTCAAAGATTAGAATGGGCTATGGGACAAAAAATGATACTCGTTAAGAGTGTGCTTCTTAGCTCAAGTAGATACATGAGACTAAATGGGCAGCTCCTGTCCAGAGGTGAGATGAAAAGGCAGAGAGGGTCAGGAGCTGGTTGAATGGACACTGGAAATCAGGGGTGGAAAGGAGGAATGTGCTGTCACAGTATAAGGAGAACAATTAGGGTCACATAACAATGTATGTATAAAACTTTGTATGAGAGACTAACTTGAATTGTAAACTTTCACTTACAATACAACAATAAAATAAAAAAAAAAAGAACACTTAGTATGTTATATAACTAGTAAAGATGTGCAGGGCAATCTGAACATGATCAGAATAAACTCCTTGAAGGTGAGGTCTTTGTGTTTTATTCACTGCTATGCCCTTAAAAAGAATCTGGCACATAATAGATTCTCCCAAAATTTGAATAAATGAATGAATGAATATATACTAGACATTTCAGAGTGTCTGTTTGCCCAGCCCCTTTGCTGTCCTGAGCATGGATTTTTCCATGCCAGTGTGGTTAAAAGTATAAATTCTGGTGCAGACAGCCTCAGTTCAAATCCACTTACGCTGTGTCCTGAGGAAATTTACTTGCCTTTCTATGCCTCAGTTTTCTCATCTGTAAAATAGAGATGATAATTGTACTAACATTGTTGGTTTATTATGAGTGTTAAATTAGCTAAAATTTGTAAAGCACTTAGAAGTGTCTGCTTTGCCTGTACTAAGCTCTGTGTAAATGTTTGCTGAAGAAATGATTAAATAAGTATGACCTCTCTTTGACTGCCACTAATTGTACTAGTGGTGGACACACTACCCAGAGACAGGCATCCATCAGTCCATCAACTGACCTTGGCATGACTTTGGTCTAGCTCAGAAAGAAGAGCTAGGCCTGATACCTCTTCCAGGAAGTTCTAAGTGGGAGCTTGAGAAGCTAAGCCACTGAGCTTTGAGAAAGGAAATTTTCTGTTCAGGGATGAGGGTGGCCATTAAAGGATGCGTACAACAAGGGGATGCCATTGGCCAGGGCAGTGATGAGCGGGAAGCATGTGCAGAGAGAAACAGAGAAAGTGGGAAGGGGGGGGAGGGGAGAATGCTGGGATGTGGGTGTAGAGCCAGGTTAGAGTACCTGCATATGTGTAGCATACATTTCCTGCCCCCTATCTTTTTGTTTTTTTTGTTTTGCAACTTGAGTGAAGCTGTATTCAGGACAAAGAGAAAGGTATGAGTAGTCATTTAGAACAAACATCATGGCATTTCTTATTTTATTTTCTTTTGGTAATTGGCTATATGTTTAGGGAAAAAAACAAAAACAAAAAAACCACCTGTTGTCTTAGAATGTGGCAGTAGAGGCAGAAGCAGCTAGAAGGGAGGACTAAGTCACATCTGGTGCCCATACGCAGGCAGTGTTATGTTGCTTACAATATAATTAATGAACAAAGGAATCTGTTACAAAGCAGTATTGGACTCTTTAGTGGAGAGGCAGGTATCCCTGGAAAATTCAGTAGTGCTTGAGAACATCATATGTTATGGTATACGTGACTACAGATCAATTAGAAAGGGTTAAATTGTGCTTACTATGGCTTTTTTTCCCCCTTTAAACCAAGGGCCTGGGTGATGGAAGTGGTTTGCGAGTGGTTCTAAAGGTATCGTGGAAGAAAAGCCATGGTGATCTGCTTCCATTAAGATTACAGCCAAAGAAAACTCTGTGGAGCAATTCTCCTCTCTAACACATGGGGTCATCATGAGTTGGGCGACTCTGTGGCACTCAACAACAACACAAGGTAGAGAAGTATGTAGTTCATTTTGGGAAAGTTTCTTTTAAAATCAGGTAAAGTTTGGGCATTGTAGATTGGATTCTGTTAGTTGCAAGGGATAAAAACCCACCTCAAAAAGTAGGCTCATGAAACCAGCTGTCCAAGTGCAAACCTGGCTTTGGGCAAAGCAGGAGCCAGGTGATGAATGAATTTCTTAGGGCTCTGTCTCTCTGGCCCCACCTCTACATGGTTGGGACTTCAGGATAAAAAAGAAAAAGAAACCCTCTTCTTCCCAACGTCTGTACACAAAATTAAGAGGACTCAGGTCCTTCTTGGTTCTTATACTCACTTCTAGATGTACTGCTCTATTGGGGGATGATGGCTGTGATTGGTGTAGCCTGGGTCACGTGTTACATCTGAGGCAAGGAGGGCTGGGATACCATGAGTGCTGGCCCAGTCAGGGCTGCACAGAGTGGAGGAGGGGAGGTTCCTCTAGGGCAGTAGTCTGGCAGACAGAGACCACACTCCTACTCCAGGCAAATGAATGGCAGAGTGTTTGTTATTCAGGAAGCCACTCCTCCAGGGCTCCACTCTCTTGATGCCAGATAAATGAGCTTTCACACTATTTGGAGTTAATTATTCTCTTTGGGAACATGCAAAATAAAATTGTGATGCGTTTTTAAATTGACTTATACTATCCTTTGGTTTGTTTTTTTTTTCTTTTTAAATCACATTTTTTATACTTAACTATAATGGAAAGTGAAATCTTTTTTCACCAGCTTTTTAACAACCATAGTAGTAATAATGTACCCTCATTTCTTCCCTCTGAATGTTAAGATCTTGGAAAGTCAAAACCAATCTAGATGGGGAATAAACCAAAAAACCAAACCCGTTGCCGTTGAATCGATTCTGACTCATAGTCATAGCGACCCTGTAGGACAGAGTAGAACTGCTCCCTAAGGTTTCCAAGGAGCGTCTGGGGGATTTGAACTGCCAACCTTTTCGTTAATAGCTGTAGTTCTTAACCATTACGCCACCAGGGTTTCCAGATGGAGAATAGCAACTGTGAATTCAGAATACTTATAGTTAGGATGCTTAGGATGAAGGCTCTTTGTCATCCTTAACTTACAGTCATTGTGGAAAAAATTACTTTGGCATAAAGGTCCTCCAGTTTTGTTATGCTACATTAACCGAGGTGTGTAAATGTCATAAGCAAACTATTGATATTGCTTAAGCGGTCCAGAGAGATTGTTCCAGAGTTCGAGTTGTAATCCCTAGGAGAGCTTAACTTACCTTCCTCCATAAATATAGCATCCCTTATAGCATGTAAATTAACCCAACCTCTCTACACAGTTAGCATGGACTGCATTTTGTTTTACCCTAAAGGATTTTTGTGCTTGAATTTGAAATGCAAAATTAATAAACTATTTTTGTGTTTCACAGGTTAATATTATGTTAAAGACAGATCCAGGATTAAAGCAAAATCCTATGACTCCCCTTTCTAGTCTAATAGGAATTTATGGAAAATGTACCCTTCTGTTAGGTTTTCCATGCCAGACGTGAAAGATGTCTTTAGCTTTCCTTTCTGTTACGGTGTGCCTTGCAGAGTGTTTCTTGCCACTAGCCACCATGTAACATGGTGCAGTGAAAGAAATTTTCTTACTTGGATTCTGCAGTAGGTATGTGTCCTATTCCATTTTCTAAACAAGTACAGTGAGTTTATAGTCCACAGAGGTGTTTTCTCAGCTGTTCTTCTAACAAATATGTTTAACATTCTATGAGTCTTTATGTATGTGAAATATTTGAAGACTAGCTAGTCATTACCAGGTAGACATCATAATGGTAAAGGAAATTCACCGCTGATAAGCTTTTCTGTATGTCTGCTTTTAAAGGTGATTTTAAATTATGAAAATCTTACGACTCACTTGAGTTGTTAGTTCTGTCACCCTGAAAATCTTAGTTAAGTGTCTACACTGGAGTACAAAGCACTGTGCAGGATCACACTGGTGATCCTAATGATGGACCTTGGTCCTACTTTGCAGAGCCCAGAGTCCACATTAACCTGTGAAAATATTTGGTGAGCCTGGATTCTCAGGAAAAAGTTGGGAAATGTCAACGGATGAATGCAGTGAAGGATTCTTTCACCGAGGTAGTAGTTAGCACAAGTAAATGCTTTTAAAACAGATAAGTGTATGGAAAGCTAAAGTTCAGCAGTTTAATTCTTTGCTAAAGGAACATTCGGTTGTTTCTCCTGCTGTGGCCACTGCCCTCTGGCTGGGGAAATGGTGGTGCCTATTTAAGGTGACCACCTAGTGCTGCTCGGAAGATTTCTGTGTGACCTCTGACTGCCACCTTCAGATTCTTGATGATTTACTAAGGAAATTAAGATGCGTTTCAGAGAGACTGGGCAGGTGGCACAGCGGTTAAGAGTTTGGCTGCTAACTAAAAGGTCAGCAGTTTGAATCCACCAGCCGTTCCCTGGAAACCCTAAGGAGGCAGTTCTACTCTCTCCGATAGGGTTGCTATGAGTTGGAATTGACTCCACGGCAAGGGGTTAGGGTTTTTGGGCAGGTTTGGTAGACTTCCTTTGTCCTGTCTGCTCCCTTCCTGTTTGCTAATGTAGATCCTACCCTTCCCTCAGGGCTTGCTCAAATCCATCTCTCCAGGGAAAGCTTCCACTAGTAATCTCATGGAACCAAGCAGTCTTTCCTGTCTTTGAATTCCCGCGGCATTCTAATACTGTTAGAACCTGATACCATACGGTCTTATTTGGTTCTTTGGTATTTTATGAATGTGCATTTGCCTTCCCAAATATATTATACTGCCACTTCAGTTTGAATTCAGTATTTCAATATTGAATATTCAATTCATAGTCAACTTTAATTCAATGTATTTGAATCCATTCAAATGAAATATTTTATTTTGTCATTTGATATTCACAAAAGCCTTTTGAGAGAGGTACAACAGGAGCCTGCATTTGGCAGGTGAATAAAACCATCAGTTGCCATGGAGTCGATTCAGACTCATGGGGACCCCATGTGTGTCAGAGTAGAACTGTACTCCATAGGGTTTTCAATGGCTGATTTTTCTTCTGAGGTGCCTCTGGGTGGACTCAAACCTCCAACCTTTTGGTTAGCAGCTGAGCACTTCAGCACTTTGCACCACCCAGGTACACAGCCCTTAATGTGTAGAAGCTTATAGTCTGGTCAAGGACAGAAGTTGTGCACAGTGACCTAAAATAGGTGGCAATTTATTTTGTGGTAAGTGGGAAGAAGAAGGTACTCCTGGGTTAGGGAAAGCTTCTCGGGGAGAAGGGGTCATAGATGCACTAGATCTCAACAGATAATATGACTTTGAAAGATGCAGGAATATCTTATTAGTGAGAGAACAGTTAGAGCAAAAGAAATATGGAAGTACAAGCCATGTTTGGGTAAGGGCAAGTAGGGTAGTTTGGCTGGAGTGGAAAGTTTGTTTAGAGGGGTAGGAAGAAATAGGTCAGAAACTTTGGTTGGAATCAAATGATGGAAGACTTTGTTTGCCCCACCAACGGCTTTGATGGGGCATGAATGTGTTGAGGGAGTGAGTGAGGTAATAAAGACCATGTAGTGGGTAGTTCAGACTGGCAGTAGCCGAATGCAGCAGGGAGCTACTGAGGATGAGGAGAAATATTAAAGGCTACTGCAAAGGTCCAGCTGATAGGTGCTTGAACAGGAGTGATAGAGGTGAGAGGGAAAGGAATGCAGATGGAGACAGAAATCCAAGAGAAGATACGCATCTCAAAGAAGAGCTTGTTTGCAGTGATAGACTGATAGGTAGAACACGGGAGGGCTTTGGTTACACTCACAGAGTTTAATTGCGGCGGACTTTCTCTTACGCTTCTGTTACGTCCTCCACATAGCAATGGACACAGAGTGGACCGCTTTACAAGTACACATTGACTTCAGTAATAGGATTCTTTTAGTTGGCTTGTAGTAATGCAGATGAAGCTGGGCTGAATCTTACCTTAAGTATAAACCATATACTTTGCTAATAGTAAATGAGAACAGGCAGGGAATATTTAAAATATTTATGGAAGTAAATGATTTTTAAGTGCTGTCAAGAGTTTGAAAAACATGCATTTATAGCTAAACAATTGAGATGTTAATTCTGAATAGTTTCCAAAAGGTTCTCTAATGACTTCTGTTGAACAACTGTTTGAACTTGGTTGAGTATATTAAAAGTGACAGTTTCTTTGAAATTTTCAGTATGAAACTGCTAGCCTTAAAAGGAGAGAGATTTCTTGTATGTGAATAAAGAGGATTCAAGCATTTTAACTGATTGTCCAAGTATTATTCTGAAAACTAAATGCACGCTACAAGTATTTATCCAGGTAGAAGAATGTAGCTGGTACGTTAAAGATCGTTCCCTGAATCTCAATGACACTTGTAAGTTAGATCAAAACAGCATAATCCATTGTCTCTTAGGAGTCCCAAGGACTACAACAAAAACCAAAGGGAGGTATAAATTACCCAAACATGTTAAGGACTAAATTCACTTCATTTGTTGAAGAAATATTTATTGAATTCATACTATGTGTCAAGCTATAGGTGCTTGAGATTGAGAAGTAAGACTGTCATTAGTACCGGTCCACCTAGATTTCTAACCAGAAACTTGGGCATTGCTCTAGTACAGTGGTTCCTAAGTGTGTTCCCCAGAGCAGCGGCATCAGCGTCACCTGGGAACTTGGTGTTGCTCAGCAATCTGATGTGTTTTAACAAGCACTCCTCATGGTACTGATGCAGGCTAAAAGTTGAGAAACACCACTGTAATAGATGTTCTTAACTTGGGCTTCCATGGAAAGAACTGTATTTTGATATTATTAGTCTTCTTTTAATTCTGCGTATCTTATTTTATACATTTAAAAACATTTTGAGAAGGATATATGCCTCAGCATACTACAAAAATGATCTATGGCACAGAATTAAGAATCCTTGTTGGCTTGCATTTGTTCCTTTTCTTCTTCCTTCTTCTTCCTCTTCTTATCCAGTGGGTCCCCAAATCCTGTGGATTCTGCCATTGTGGTATCTCTCAAATTTGTCTTTTTTTCTCCATCATCAGTATTATTTATTTAGCCCAACAACTCATCTCCTTATTAAACTATTATGATCACAACTTGGGTGTTCTGGCTATCAGGAGGCTTGTGACCTCCCCAACTCATCCTCCCCGCTGCAGCCAAAGGGATCATTCTTTAATCATTGAACTCCTTAAAATCATTAAGTCGTTGATGACATGGGATCAAGTCCAAATTCTTTAGCTTGGTTTGCAAGGTGTTTTCATGATAAGACCCAGTCGTCTTCTCCAGGATCACCTCTTATGTTTTTTGACACATGTCCTGCACTTCAGCCTTAGCAGAAGTTATTCCATGGTTCCTTGGATGTATCATGACCTCTGAGCCTTTGTGCTGGCAGTTCCCTCCATTTGGAATGTTCATCCCTTTCTTTGTTGCCTGGTGAACTTCTGTTCATGCTTAAGGTCTGTACAAGGTGTTCTTAAGCATCCCAGGCAGAGTTAGGGGCTCAGTTCTCTGAGCTGTCAGCGATTCCTTTGCATACTTCTCCTCCAAGTGATCATTCTAAAAATCATTGGACCACAGGCTTCATATTTTTTAAAAAAATTGGTACCAAATGAAGACCTTTCAAGCAAGTGACTCAGGTGTGTGGTTGTTATAGGAGGATGCTTGTTCACCCTTGAAATGCTCACATCTCTGAAGAGCAAGCCAACGGCTGGGGTAGAACCTGGCCAACATTATGCCATCATTCAGGGCAGGAAGGAGAAGATGCCTCCAGTGGCAGCCAAAAGGAGGTTGTCAGATGAGCACTCTGTAATTACTCTCATTGCTCAGTTGCCAAGCTGCTGGGGGCCAAACACATTGAGATATTGTGGTTTGAGCTCTTGTCCTCCCACAGTACTGTGAGCTGCTCGTACATGATGGGAAACAAAGATGCCTGGGGTTCAACCATGGAGAATAAATGAAAAAAAAAAACTTTGTTCTTCTCCTACTCCCATGTAAGTCATATATGCCCATTATCAAAATTTCAGAAGATAAAAAGTGTGAGGGAAAAAAAAATACATGTTATCTATCTCCTAATGAAAATAGCTATTCATACTTACAGTTTTTTTTTCAGTTATTTTTTTCCCTGTATATTTAAAAATATTTTTATTACACTATGTAAAATTTTATAGTCTTTGTTTTATTATATTGTAGAATTTTCTCATTATAAACCCTTAATAAATGTCTTAATGGCTATATGATATTCTATTGAATGAATGGGCCTTTGCTTGCTTACATAATTATAGTATTGTCGAATATTAAGGTGGTTGTCTATTTTCTTTGTAAATAAAACTACAGTGACTGTCTTGATGAATAGTTTTGTGTGTGTGTGTGTGTGTGTGTGTGTGTGTGTGTGTGTGTGTGTGTGTGTGTGTAGACTTCTATAGCCATGTATTAGAAACCCTGGTGTCATAGTGGTTAAGTGCTACGGCTGCTAACCAAAAAGTTGGCAGTTTGAATCCACCAGGTGCTCCTTGGAAACTCTATGGGGCAGTTCTACTCTGTCTTGTAGGGTCGCTATGAGTCGCAATCTACTCAACAGCAACAGGTTTGGGTTTTTTTTTTTTTTTTTTTGTAGCCACGTATTAGACATAATTAAGGATGTCAGTAATTGCTCTTGAGTTTCACCTATTTTACAATCAATCCAACCTTTATGGAGCGTTAGAATAGTGCTAAGCAGCAAATCCCTTATATAGAAAATGAAGAGTCTCCAAATCTGCTACTCCTGAAAGTGATATCACATAAAGTAACATTTAAACAATTTTATGTGATTCTTATAGTCTCTATTATACAATGTGATTCTTTGTGAGATAAGAGAAGAGCGTGCTTTAACTTTCTGGCTCATTAATAAAGTACAGTTGTAATCAACTAAATATTAAAAAATGAATACGGTTTATAATTCTTTGATGCTGTTAAATTTTTTTTACCAAAATGGAAGTCCAGAAGTGATTTTTTTTCCTTTTTTATTACCTTACTTCTAAAAAATTCAGACATTTTTATAAATTGTTCATGAAGTTATATTACATAATTTCTTGGTAATTCCCAAGTGTACTGTTTTTGTGGATTGAGAGGGGTTAGGGAGAACGGAGGGGAAGCGCTAATGTTTTGCAGAGTGTCTTATGTGCTAGCCACAGTGTGAGGGAGGCCATTTCCTCCCAGCTGTCCTGAGAGGTTGGTATTGAGACCCTCATTATAGAGATGAAGAAGCTGAGCTCAACAGTGAAATTTCAGGTTTATGCAACTTGCAAATCTCATGTACTTTCTGTCACATTGGCTGCCTTGGGCAGGGGCAGATTATCCAATAGGCAAGGTAAACACAGTGCTTACTTTGCTTACCAGATCATCTGTAGTGAACAATTTCATATTTTTTCACCACATCAGAGAGTCTGCCTCTAGGTATGGCTGGCATCTGTGTCTCTCCCAACCCCACAGCACCTTCCTACAGAATCAAAGCCTGTTTTCAAATTTACAATCCCTGACAGGGTGAATGACCTAGTATGCAAGGTAAGCAAGGGCCTACTTGTGCTTACTTACTAATCTGTAGTGATCAGTTTCAAAGATGTGGTGAAATCCATGTGAAATTTTTCACTACAGATGATCTGGTAAGCAAGAGAAGCACTGTGCTTACCTTGCTTATTGGATAATCCACCCCTGACTTTGGGGTATATGAGCCCTGTGAAAAATCCCATATGATTCTTGTGTGGAGTGATGTCCTAACTCTAGAACTGTACTGTCCCTGTGTGGCTCTTTACATTTATATTTAAATTCTTTACCATTAAGTAAAATGAAAAATTCTGTTCTCTGTTGTACAAGCCACATTTCAAGCACTCAATAGTCACATGGGGGTAGTGGCTACCATATTGACTAGTGCAGATATTTAAAGCGTTTCTGTTACCACAGAAAGTTCTGTTGCACAGTGCTGGTCTGGAGGCTGCCTCTGGAAAAGTCCTCATAGGCTGCTATCCGTATCTTTATTAGCAGAATCAACAATAAGCCTAGGAACACTTATTTGAGACTCTGACTTAGCCATTCGTGCACTGACATATATTTTTGACCTCTGGAATCCTCAGTGTCCACAGTCTGGGGCCTCCTGGCTGAGGAAAGGAGAAGACTTATATAACCCACTGGTTGGCAACTGCACCCTAACCATAATGATACTTTATATGGAATATTACCCAAAGAACATATTTTTTGAATAGATCAGACCGTGAGAAGAGTAGTGATTTATATTTCTTTGCTTGATAAATGCCAAATTGTATTCCACAGGTACAAATTATTCTTTTATATTTGCTTAATGTTTACTCAGCCAAAAACCAGAAACCATACCCACTGCCGTTGAGTCAATTCCGACTCATAATGACCGCATGGGGTTTCCAAGGCTGTAAATCTCTACGGAAGCAGACTACCACATCTTTCTCCTGCGGACCCACTGGTGGTTTTAAACCGATGACTCTTCGGTTAGCAGTCGAGTGTCTTAATCACTGTACCACTAGTGCTCCTTGTTTACTCAGCAGATGGCCTTAATTCAGTTGGGAAAGGATAAACCAAAATGAGGAAGAATTAGTGAGAATTGAAATTCAAGGTATACCCTGGTGAATTTTGAACATATTAAATTAATCCTTAGTATTCTTCTCAGGAAGTTTTTATAATATAAG